CCCACGACTGTGTTTTCGGATGATATATTAAAGTATAATATGAGTTTGTTTGTGTTTCCTATGTATTATTATTTATTTTATTATTTACAGTATTTCTATTACTGGAAGATTTTTTTTATGGCATCGTAAATTAGTTAAATTAGCCTCTCCGCATAAAGCGGTACCTAAATTTCCTACTTGACAGATGCAACTGTTTTTTGGGCTGCATAGGTCAACAGCAAGCTAGACTATTAATGGTCGGGAGCTCACTCCGACCTGGGCTGCCTTCGAACTCATGACTCCTCGGTCAGTATTGATTTAATGCAGCTGGCTACTAGCTAGCTGCGTCACGTCCGGTTTGGGGAATTTTGGGACACACCATATAATAAAAATAATAGTTGTTGTCGTTGTTGTTATCTCACTTAAAAAGAAGCCGTTTTGAGTCCCTTTAGCAGGAGCTGGGGCTGACAGCAGGAGCTCACCCCCTCCCCAGATTTGAACCGCTGACCTGACTGCATGGAGCACCCTTACCTTCCCACTGGAGCGGTACCTACTCATCTACTCACATTTGCATGTTTTCGAACTGCTAGGTTGGCAGAAGCTTGGGCTGATAGCAGGAGCTCACCAACTCTGGTGCTCATCTCCATTTCTACGCCGAAGAGCCGGCGTTGTCCGTAGACACCTGTAAGATCATGTGGCCGCTGGCATGACTGCATGGAGCACCCTTACCTTCCTATTGATCTACTCACATTTGCATGTTTTCCAACTGCTTGGTTGGCAGGAGCTGTGGCTAACAGCAGGAGCTCACCAACTCTGGGATTCTGGTGCTAGTTAGGAAGTCAGAACAAAAATAAAGCAAAGTCCTTGTTAATAGTGGGAGTGTGACTGGTGGTGGCACACTGTCCATGTTCAGAGGCTATGCATTCCTGCAGGATATCCCCCAAGGCAGCCATGTTCCTCCTCTTCCTCCTCAACCTCTTCGACCTCCTCCGCGTCGGCCAACATGCCTCTGCTGCTATTCTTAGTTGGAGATGACCTGCCAGAAGGAGCTTTCTCTTTGGATCAGGGCAAGGGAGGCTTCCTTCCAGCAAGGAAGAGAACGCCGCTGGGCGGATATTGTGTGTGTGTGTGTGTGTGTACACACATGCCTCGGTGCTTTCCAGGGAGTTCGGCTTGCCTGTGGAAAGCGAGGAGAACAAGCCACCCAAAAAGGAACCCCGAGAAATTAGTCTTTGGTGTGTTTTGCTGGCCTTGATTACGGCAACTTGAGTCCAAGAGCATCTGAAGGGACCCTTGGTTCCGATCCTTCGTTTGCCACCTCTAGATGAGAAAGTGCACGTAAATGCACACACACACACACACACATATATAATGCAATATTATTAGCAAAATTACATGTAATGTATAATATACTAGCCGTCCCTGCCACACATTGCTGTGGCTCAGTCTATGTATATGTGTTTTGTTTGTATATATATATGAGTATATGTGTGTTTGTGTGTATATATGTGTTTGTGGGGGGGGGGGGGGTTGCTCATATGTTGTAATGTATTAAAATATTTCCAGGGAGTTCGGCTTGCCTGTGGAAAAACCCAGAGAAATTAGTCTTTGGTGTGTTTTGCTGGCCTTGATTACGGCAACTTGAGTCCAAGAGCATCTGAAGGGACCCTTGGTTCCGATCCTTCGTTTGCCACCTCTAGATGAGAAAGTGCACGTCTGCTTATTGTTATCGTTGAATTAATAAATGCACACACACACACACACATATATAATGCAATATTATTAGCAAAATTACATGTAATCTATCTATATAAAAATGCTCTGTGCATAATGAGTTCCTTAAAAACAAAAAAGCCAATGAACGAAATCACACCAAATTTGGCAACAAAACGTCTCACAACACAAGGAGTGACCATCACTCGCAAAAATATGATTTTGTCATTTGTTGTAGTTGCTGGGATTTATAGTTCACCTCCAATCAAAGAGCATTCTGAACTCCAACAACGATGGAATTGAACCACACTTGGCACACAGAACTCCTATGACCAACAGAAAATACTGAAAGGGTTTGGTGGGTATTGACCTTGAATTTGGGAGTTGTAGTTCACCTACATCCAGAGAGCACTGTGGACTCAAACAATGATGGATCTGGACCAAACTTGGCACGAATATTCCATATGCCCAAATATGAACACAGATGGAGTTTGGGGGAAATAGACCTTGGCATTTGGGAGTTGTAGTTACTGGGATTTATAGTTCACCTACAATCAAAGACCATTCTGAATGAACCCTACGAATGACAGAACTGGGGCAAACTTCCCACACAGAACCCCCATGACCAACAGAAAATACTTAAGGCCATCCAGTCCAACTCCCTTCACCAGGGCAAGAAAATGTAATCAAAGCCCTCCTGACAAAGAGCCATCCAGCCATAGATATAGATAGATATGATTCACACACAGAGAGATATAGTATTATAGATTTGAAAGGGACCCTAAAGAAGGACAATTCTATGTTGCATGTTCAAGAGTAGGCAAACCAGACAATCTCCACATCAACACTGACAAAGAAACAACAAGAAATACTGTTTACCCACAAGCAAAAAGAAATTACATATATTAGAAACCAACTTTCTCATTACTTTATTTCCATATCACCAGACTGGGCCACAGCAACTGGCACAAGCACTCAATATGTATAATAACTGCTTTCCACACGTTTCTGTGGCCCAGGTCTGTGTATATGTGTTTTGTGTGTGTCACTACTCTTTGCCCCGGAGGGAGTGTGGTGGAGGCTCCTTCTTTGGAAGCTTTTAAACAGAGCTGGATGGCCATCTGTCAGGGGTGATTGAATGCAATATTCCTGCTTCTTGGCAGAATGGGGTTGGACTGGATGATGGCCCATGAGGTCTCTTCCAACTCTAGGAAGAACTTCCTGACTGTGAGAGCCGTTCAGCAGTGGAACTCTCTGCCCCGGAGGGAGTGTGGGGGAGGCTCCTTCTTTGGAAGCTTTTAAACAGAGGCTGGGTGGCCATCTGTCAGGGGTGCTTTGAATGCAATATTCCTGCTTCTTGGCAGAATGGGGTTGGACTGGATGATGGCCCAGGAGGTCTCTTCCAACTCTAGGTTTCTATATGTGTGTGTACATATGTGTGTATATGTGATATGTGTGTTTATGTTTTGGCCTTTTAAATCCCTTCTGTTGTGTTTTTGAGTGTTTTCATGAGTGATGGTCACTCTTTGGCCTGAGAGGTATCTTGTGGCCAAATTTGGTCTCAGTTCATCCAGTGGTTTTGGAGTTCTGTTAATCCCACAAATGAACATTGCCCTTTTATTTGTATAGATATAATAATTATTATATTGTTTTGTGTTATTAGTATTGTATTACATTATTATACAATATAATAATGTAATGGGGGCGCGCAGGGGGTTAGACCGCTGAGCTGCTGAACTTGCTTACCGAAAGGTCACAGGTTCGAATCCGGGGAGCGGGGTGAGCTCCTGCTGTCAGCCCCAGCTTCTGCCAACCAAGCAGTTGGAAAACATGCAAATGTGAGTAGATCAATAGGAAGGTAAGGGTACTCCATGCAGTCCTGCCAGTGGCCACATGACCTTGGAGGTGTCTATGAACAACGCCGGCTCTTTGGCTCAGAAGTGGAGATGAGCACCAGAGTCCCATAGTCGGTGAGCTCCCACTGTTAGCCCCAGCTCCTGCCAACCAAGCAGTTCAAAAACATGCAAATGTGAGTAGATCAATAGATAAGGGTGCTCCATGCAGTCATCCTGGCCACATGACCTTGGAGGTGTCTACAGACCATGCCGGCTTTTTGGCTCAGAAATAGAGATGAGCACCAGAATCCCAGAGTTGGTGAGCTCCTGCTGTTAGCCCAGCTTCTTCCAACCAAGCAGTTGGAAAACATGCAAATGTGAGTAGATCAATAGGAAGGTAAAGGTGCTCCATGCAGTTATGCCAGTGGCCACATGATCTTGGAGATGTCTACGGACAATGCCGGCTCTTCAGCTTAGAAATGGAGATGAGCACCAGAGTCCCAGAGTTGGTGAGCTTCCACTGTCAGCCCCAGCTTCTGCCAACCTAGCAGTTCCAAAACATGCAAATGTGAGTAGATGGGTAGGTACCACTCCAGCGGGAAGGTAAGGGCGCACCATGCAGTCAGGTCAGCAGTTAGAATCCGGGGAGCGGGGTGAGCTCCTGCTGTCAGCCTCATCTTCTGCCAACCTAGCAGTTCCAAACATGCAAATGTGAGTAGATGGGTAGGTACCACTCCAGCGGGAAGGTAAGGGCACACCATGCAGTCAGGTCAGTAGTTTGAATCTGGGGAGTGGGGTGAGCTCCTGCTGTCAGCCTCATCTTCTGCCAACCTAGCAGTTCCAAAACATGCAAATGTGAGTAGATGGGTAGGTACCACTCCAGCGGGAAGGTAAGGGCACACCATGCAGTCAGGTCAGTAGTTTGAATCTGGGGAGTGGGGTGAGCTCCTGCTGTCAGCCTCATCTTCTGCCAACCTAGCAGTTCCAAAACATGCAAATGTGAGTAGATCAATAGGAAGGTAAGGGTGCTCCATGCAGTCATGCCAGTGGCCACATGACCTTGGAGGTGTCTACGGACAACGCCGGCTCTTTGGCTTAGGAATGGAGATGAGCACCAGAGTCCCAGAGTCGGACTGGACTGGACTTAATGTCAGGGGAAAGCCTTTCCTTGTACCTTCTTTGGAGGTTTCGAAACAGAGGTGTGGTGGCCATCTGTCGGGGTGCCGGGCCCCCCAAAGTAAGCCCTCTCTTGCTGGAGGGTCTCCAGGGGGTGCTGGGCCCCTTTCTCCTTTGGCCGCCTTCTTTCTCCCTCCTCCTCCCTCTCCCTCCCTCTCTTTCTTTCTTTCTCCCCCTTGTTTTGTTTTGTGTTTTTTCCTCCCTCCAAAGAGGAGGGCACATCAGGCGCATCAGCAGCATCAGCATCAGCCGCCCTGCTCTATAAAAGCCTCCCCTCTTCTTCCTTTCCTCCCTTCCCTTCTTCTTCTTCCCTTCCTTCCTTCCTTCCTTCCTTCCTAGGTGAAGGATGGACTACTCCTACGACGAGGACCTGGACGAGCTGTGCCCGGTGTGTGGGGACAAGGTCTCGGGGTACCACTACGGGCTGCTCACCTGCGAGAGCTGCAAGGTAAGACCCCCAAAGACCCCAGGGCACACTGAGCTGGATTCTATAGCAATGTGGACTCGGATAGTCCAGCTCAAAGCCCACCTGGTGGGTCACCTGCCTTGATGTTCTGGGCTCCATGGCTGTGTGGGAGAAGGGCCCCATCAAGGCGCCCCGGCTTCGGAAACTTTTGCGCACTCCTGATAGGAAATAATCGGGATCCAAAAGTATGAAGCGCATCCTGTGCATGGTCTGCCTTGATACCATATCATTAGTATATTACTATTACTAGTATATATAATCACGGATATAATGTACTGTGACTAGTAATATTGCAGTATAGTAGCACAGTACAATGTGATAGTAAATCATACAAATTCTGTGCTATGCTAATAATATAATATAATATAATATATATAATATTATAATATAATCATATATTAGTGTGACTAGTAATATTGCAGTATAGTAGCATAGTACAATGTGAGAGTAAATCATACTAATACTGTGCTATGCTAATAATATAATATAATATATATAATATTATAATAATAATAATATAATCATATATTAATGTGACTAGTAATATTGCAGTATAGTACAGTGTGATAATACATCATACTAATACTGTGGTTTGCTAATAATATAGTATATATACGTATACCATTATAATATTATAATATAATAATATATTATTTATTTATTGCAGTATAAATAGATAAATAATATTGCAGTATAGTAGTATAGTACAGTGTGATAATATATCATACTAATACTGTGCTTTGCTAATAATATATTATATATACGTATACCATTATAATATAATAATATGTTATTTATTTATTGCAGTACAAATAGATGGATAATATAGTAGTATAGTAGTATATATTATATATTATTAATTACTATAGATAAATAATGTAGTAGTATAGTACAATGTGATAATAAATCATACTAATACTGCTATGTTAACAATATATTATATATACCTATATTATTATTATATTATTATATAATAATATATTAATGTGACTAGTAATTTTGCAGTATAGTAGTATAGTACAGTGTGAAAATATATCATACTAATACTATGCTATGCTAATAATATATATATATATATATATATATATACATATAATATTATAATATAATATTTTATTTATTTATTTATTGCAGTATAGTTGTATATATAGTTGATACAATGTGATAATGTATCATACTAATTCTGTGCTATGCTAATAATATATTATATATACATATAATATAATAATAATAGTAATATATAGTAATATATTATTTATTCATTCATTAATTTAAGACTTTTATATTCTCACCCCGAAGGGGACTCAGAGCAGTTTACAAGATGATATATATATATATGTGTGTGTGTGTATAATGCATACATTCAATATATTATCAGCATAGCACAATATCAGTATTATAATACAATATTATATTATAATAAAACACCTACTTTCCCATAAGATATATTGGTTTTTAAACCATGCTCTCCTTTTAATTGTATATTGTTTTTGCAATACTTTGTGTTTTGTCTAATTGTATATTGTTTTTAAGGCATTGCATTATTGCCGATGTTGCAAACCGCCTTGAGTCCTCTTCGGAGGTTGAGAAAGGCAGCATATAAATATAGTAAATAATATATAAATACAATATAATATAATATTATAATGTATTAATACGATTGTAAATGCAATATAATATATGATAATATATTGCTATGCTAATATAGTAATATATAAATACAATATAATACATTAATATAATAATATAAGAATATAATAATAAATACAATACAATATAATATTATAATGTATTAATACAATTGTAAATACAATATAATATATGACAAAATAATATATTGCTATACTAATATAGTAATATATAAATACAATATAATACATTAATATAATAATATAAGAATATAATAATAAATACAATACAATATAATATAATATAATTGTAAATACAATATAATATATGACAAAATAATATATTGCTATACTAATATAGTAATATATAAATACAATATAATACATTAATATAATAATATAAGAATATAATAATAAATACAATACAATATAATATAATATTATAATGTATTAATACAATTGTAAATACAATATAATATATGACAAAATAATATATTGCTATACTAATATAGTAATATATAAATACAATATAATACATTAATATAATAATATAAGAATATAATAATAAATACAATACAATATAATATAATATTATAATGTATTAATACAATTGTAAATACAATATAATATATGATAAAATAATATAATGTATTGCTATACTAATATAGTAATATATAAATACAATATAATACATTAATATAATATAATAATATATGAATATAAATAATAAATACAATATAATATAATATTATAATGTATTAATACAATTGTAAATACAATATAATATATGATAAAATAATATATTACTATACTAATATAGTAATATATAAATACAATATAATATAATATTATAATATTAATACAATTGTAAATACAATATATATATGATAAAATGTATTGCTATACTAATATAGTAATATATAAATACAATATAATACATTAATATAATATAATAATATATGAATATAATAATAAGTACAATATAATACAATATTATAAGGTATTAATACAATTGTAAATACAATATAATATAACATACAGTAATAATAATACTAAATCATGAGAATGACAGTCCAGAAAACTAACAGCAAGTCTATGTAACACATTAAACTGGATTATACGGCAGTGTGGACGCAGAAAATTCCACAATACCTGCTTTGAACAATATCTGAGTCCGCACTGCCATATATTGCAGTTCAGAGCAGATAATGCCGCATCTCCTTCAGCTTTGTGTGCAAGGAGCCTTCGGATTTCTGAATATTGTGTTTGTGTTGTGTGTTGTTTGAGTGCGCTTTAAGGCTGTTGTTTTTGTATAGCCTTACGTTTTATTCCATTGTGTTTTGCTTTTGTCGGGAAGGCTTTCCTGGCCGGAATCATTGGGTTGTTGTGTGTTTTTCGGGCTGCCTGGCCGTGTTCCAGAAGCATTCCCTCCTGATGTTTCGCCTGCATCTATGGCAGGCATTTTCAGGGGTTGTGAGGTCTGTTGGAAACTAGGAAAATTGAGTTTAAATATATATCCCCGTGGAATGATATCCAGGGTGGGAGAAAGAACTCTTGTCTTTTTGCCATTAACCACTTTGATTAGCATTGAACGGCCTTGCAGTTTCAAGGTCTGGCTGCTTCCTGCCCACGGGGGGGGGGGGGGGATTCCATTGTTGGGAGGTGTGAGCTGGCCCTGATTGTTTCTTGTCTGGAATTCCCCTGTTTTTGAGTGTTCTGATTCTAGAGTTTTAAAAATACTGGTTCGTTTTTCATGGTTTCCACATTCAACAGATAAATATACATATTAATCAATTTTTCCTAGTTTGCAACAGACCTCACAACCTCTGAGGATGCCTGCCAGAGATGCAGGCGAAATGTCAGGAGAGAATGCTTCTGGAACATGGTCAGACAGCCCGGAAAACTCACAACAAGCCTGTGTTTTCCTTGCTATGCTTGATTTTAATGGATTGTTTTGCTTTGATGCTCTGTGGACATAATATGCTGATAGTGTGTTTTATAATATAATATAATGTAATGTAATGTAATATATTGTATAGACATATATCTATAATATTATATTGTAATGCAATACTAATCATAATATTATATTATTAATATAATGTAATGTAATATATTGTATAGATAGAATATTATAGTAATCATAATATTACATTATTAATATAACGTAATGTAATATATTGTATAGACATATATCTATAATATTGATAATATTAGAATGTGAAATATAATACTAATCATAATATTACATTATTAATATAATATAATATATTGTATAGACATATATTTATAATATTGATAATATTATAATGCAATATAATACTAATCATAATATTACATTATTAATATAATACAATGTATTATAATATATATTTATAATATTGATAATATTATAATGTAATACAATATAATAGTAATCATAATATAATAATGTAATGTAATATATTGTATAGACATATATTTATAATATTGATAATATTATAATGCAATGCAATACTAATCATAATATTACATTATTAATATAATACAATGTAAAATAATATATTGTATAGATGCAATATTATGGTAATCATAATATTACATTATTAATATAACGTAATGTAATATATTGTATAGACATATATCTATAATATTGATAATATTAGAATGTGAAATATAATACTAATCATAATATTACATTATTAATATAATATAATATATTGTATAGACATATATTTATAATATTGATAATATTATAATGCAATATAATACTAATCATAATATTACATTATTAATATAATACAATGTATATAATATATATTTATAATATTGATAATATTATAATGTAATACAATATAATAGTAATCATAATATAATAATGTAATATAATATATTGTATAGACATATATTTATAATATTGATAATATTATAATGTAATGCAATACTAATCATAATATTACATTATTAATATAATATATTGTATTGTATAGACATATAGTTATAAATTCATAATATTATAACGTAATACAATACAATAGTAATCATAATATTATATTATTAATATAATGTAATATAATATATTGTGTAGACGTATATTTATAATATTGATAATATTATAATGTGATGCAATATAATACTAATCGTAATATTATATTATTAATATAACATAATGTAATATAATATATTGTATAGACATGTATTTATAATATTATAATGTAATAAAATATAATAATATATTATAATTATATATTTTACGTTACGTGTAATGTTACTAATAATATTACAATATAATGGTATAGTACAATATGGTAATATATAATACTGATACCGTACTATATTATATATAGTATGTATATATATATATATATATGTAGC